GATGAAGAGCTAGTAAAGCAATCTCCTAAATAATCTTTCAAACAACAAAGCACAATGTAGAGTAATCCCAGAGGAAATAAGCTATTGCATGGTGTGTTGTTGTTTTTCTAGCAAATATGAATCTCGTTGCACCAGAGTTGCCCGTAATACCAATGATCCAGTCTGGATTCACAACTTCACATTTGAAAACTTCGTGATCAATTCCAAAGAACTAGAAGTTGCCATCTTCGATTACTTTCAGGGCAGAACGGCTTTCATTGGAGAGGTAGGTTATTCTATTTCCCTAAGACACGGTCTGAAACTTGATGTTTAATTGAATTTGGACAAAGTTAGATTGTCGCCCCATGACACTTTCTTAAGATCACATTATGGCATTATGCGATCTGACAATGTTTCACTGACTGTTGTTTTGGCAAGCTCAAAGTCAAAATGGCTGTCAAAAAAACAATACACTTATGATAGCCCTAGCTGCGAACCGAATCCTCCACAGATTATACTTTCTGCATTGGTCAGAATTTATTCAATTGCCAGCAAGTAATCTTGGTCTGCTACTCCGAGTGCCAAGGCTCCAAGGGTCCCACCAAGGACGTATATTACCGATCTAGGGGAGGAAGTCACGGTGCTACAGACCTGGGTACACGCTAATAAAGATTAATTGCGTTTTTTTCTAAAATTCCATAGGTCCTTATCAACCTGCAGGTGGCTGACTTATCCGGACGTGCCTACTGGTATCCCATTCCCCCAGTTTGGGATACTGGTGATCAGGATCTTTCTAGTCAGGTTCGTCTATTTTTACTGTTAGGACATCCGCGCTCGTATCGATAACTGATTTTCGATTGGATTAAGCAGTTAGGAAAGTCGAGGTAAAATGTTGCTTCTTTTGATCATTTGGCTTGACGTTTTGCATAATCCTCCTGCTTTTGCGTTTAAGAAACTTCCGCTAGGTAACCAAACAAAGGAGCTCAAGTTGGGGAGAGGTCAAGTTTACCAATGATGCATGAAACGCAAGTGTATTAAGCGCGCTATCTTCTATTTTAGGTGCAGTCTGAGACTGGAACATTTGAAGGAGGTTAGTG